GGAAGGACAAAAGGATGGAAGGAAGGAAGGAAGTGAAGGAAGGAAGGAAGGAAGGAAGGAAAGAAGGGAGGGAGGGAGGGAGGAAGGAAGGAAGGAAGGAAGGAAGGAAGGAAGGAAGGAAGGAAGGAAGGAAGGAAGGAATTGAAATCATTAGGGAAATAAAATATGTGAAGATGATTAATAAATTCAAAATACCATAAAACAAAGTTACCTACAATTTCATCAAAATTTTAAATCTGAACTTAAATTTATGAATACCTACAAATATGGAACTTAGCAAAAGCCTTAAGAAGAAATAGAAAATTTGATTAGTTCTATAACCATTAACAAATCAGATCAGTAGTTAAACTTCTTTCCATAAAGTACACAAGTGGCTGGTTCTACCAAATAATTGCTGTGCAGCCAACCCTTGCACAAACAACCCAGGGCAGAGGAATATGGACTTGCTTTACAAGACTAGGGTAAACTTGATCCAAAACAAGAAAACAAAAATTAGCTGTCAGTCACATTCATTAACATAGATGTCCTTGTCATACCCATATGTCTATAACCTCATCCTATGTTCCTTTGGTTCTATCTATTTTACCACCACTGGCTTCTCAGATTTTCCTCAAACTCTCTGGGTATATACTGGCCTCAGGACATTGGCACTGACTTTTCCTCTGGAACTCCTTCTCCCAGACAGCCTCTTAGATAACAGCCTCCTGCAAGGCTCCTTTACCTCCTTCCTGTCTCTTTAAAAATGTCCTCTCAGTTATTCCTTCCCTGAAAAACATGGACACTGAAGCCATTGGGCCGATAGTCCCTACCCCTCTTCCCTGATTTGCTTTTCTTCTCTGCACTGTTCACAATCTCACATGTATCACTTCTGCCTCTGGTGTATTATCCGTCTCCCTCCCCTAGGATGAAAGTAGGGGTCTTGTTTATCTTAGTGCCGGGTGAGGGCTGAGTAACTATTTCTGGAATGAATTGGTAAATGCAAAAGTATTGAACAAAATGTTAGCATGACAAATTCAGCAATGCATTAAAAATACAGTATGATTCAGTTGGATTTTTCTCAAGAATTCAAGTTTAGTTTAAATTAGAAAATAATGATTGAAATGGCAGAGAAAAAAAACAAAAACATGAAATTATTTCAACAGATGGGGATAAAAACATTTTATGGAATTCAGGATTAAAATGACCTTACCTTCCTTAACCAATAAACCAACAGCAGACATTACACTTCATGATAAAACATGAAAAGTGCTTTTTAAAAATATATATATCAGGAACAGGAAAAGGTGCCTTTTATCATTACTACCACTCTCCTCACTGCATTTTACCCAATAAAGTCAATAGAAAGGTAGATGAGAAGGTACAAAAAATGAAAAGAGATAAAGCTCAAAATTTTCACGGATGATATGATTATCAACATAACACTCTCAAAATAATTCACAAAATGAAAATAATTCAGAAGGTCCCAAAGAGAATTTTACAAATTTTCTAGATGCAAAATCACGATGAAAATACCAATCAGAATCCCAATGAGTTAAATTGTGGAATCAGATGAACTGTCCCTAAAAAGTATATGTTATGTGAAAGGGCCATGAATAGCATGACACACAGAAGGAAGATGAACAAGTTGGATAATTTCCTCCACCACAAACCAAGAACTACTATAGGGCAGTGTGGTGTGGCCCAGGAACAGACTCGTAGACCGACAGAGCAGAAGAGACAGCCTATAGACCAGTGGTTCTCAACCTGTGGGTCGCGACCCCTTTGGAGGTCAAACGACCCTTTCACAGGGGTCGCCTAAGACCATCCTGCATATCAGATATTTACATTACGATTCATACAGTAGCAACCTTACAGTTATGAAGTAGCAATGAAAATAATGTTATGTTTGGGTCACAACATGAGGAACTGTATTTAAAGGGCCAGAAGGTTGAGAACCACTGCCATAGACAGACCCAAGCCTCTCTGAATGCTTGGTAATGACAAGGTGATGCTGGAGGATGGGAGAGAAGAATCAACTCATTGGTCAATGATGCTCAGAAAATTTGTCAATGAATAAGCTGTCAGTCTTTTGTCAATCTCCTTTGTCAACCTCCTTTCAGTGGTCCACCATTGTGTTGGTCTCTCTTCTCACCTGTCTGTCTACCATGCCCATTCTGTTGTGTTAGATTCCTTTCCCATTATTTATTTTGGAGCACCTGTGGGTGAGCAAATGCAATGGCTTGTGCTTATTTCACAATGTTTAAGTGGAAGGACATTAACCATATAGCTCATCTTAAAAAAAAAAAATAGGCTAGCTCAAGAGTTTTTCTTTCCTTTGAAATTTTTGTGTTGGGATAAGTCAACCTATAACCCCACAAAGCACTGGGCAAATATTTCAGACTGTGCTGACGGTCTCCTACAGCCCTTTAATTTAGTGTTAATTCATTTGAGAAAATGCAACTAGGAACTGGATCTGAGGAATGTGTAATACAGGTAGTTCTAGTCCCATGTAAATTCTGTGTTCAACATTTGAACCATCAGCTCTGTTCAAGAATCAATGGGCCCTATTCTCATTATATCTGGTCCTGAAAATGATTCTGGTGCAAAGGACTCTCTATTGTCTTTATAATTTCTGAAAAAAAAAGTGTTTCCTTCCAGTGCCCACACTCCACTCCGGACGCTTTCAGTGGTATTGATGTAACAGACTGGTTTCTCACCTGAGGTGCAGTGAAAACGTGGTGATGGGTGGCAGCAGAATCCACAGCCTCCAAGAAGGAGGGTTGGGAGGGTTGGGAGCATATCCTGGGCCCTGGAGCCTGGTTGCTGTGGCAACGCTGCTGCTCTGCCAAGGCTGTTTCTCACTGTGGGTGGGAAGAAGCTCCCTCCCCTGCCAGCAACTACGTGGGCTTCTGGCAGCTGGAGAAAATGCTGAGATGATGCACTGCTTCCCAGATGGGAGCTCGGAGAGTCTTCGTTTCAATCCAACAGGCAACTCAGGCCCTGCAGAAGCGCAGGGTAATTAGGACCCAGCCCCTCACAAGTGCCAACTGTGCAAGATGAGGCACTCAAAGTTTCTTACTTTGAGCGACAGTTTTGCAGAGGATCAGGACTTAAACTGGAAGGTTCCAGCCTGACCTGGGAGGAATGCAGGTTTAGAGGAATGTGTATTTGTCAATAGGGGTAATATAATTCTGAGCAATTTAAATGGCAGCATTTAAACAGGGAGTAAAAGAAAGATTTCCATTTAATTTGGAGATCTTAAACTCACTTGGAAATGCCTGTTAACTCAGGGTTGTCAATTTAGGGTTACTCAGTATTGCAATTTATCTCATGTTTTTCTAAATTTAAAAGTCACTACTCAAAGCCATAGTTAATGACCGTGACACTAATAGCACCCGTGTGCACGTGTGCGCGCACACATACACACACACACACACACACACACACACACACACACACGGAATATATAGTCTAGGTAACTAGGGATAACTTGCTGGCATGGAGGCTAGTATTGGTCCATCTAAACAGCAGTCAGGGAAATATGAATGAGTAGAAACTGACTCTGAACTAGTAATGGAATGAACCAGATGTCCTCCGTGGCAGTTTTGGTGACCATCTCTGAGTTTACCACGTCATTTGCTCCTAAGCCTAACTCCTCCTGATTTTACCTTTATTGTTATATGCTTTAGGTCTAGGACCCAGCAAAGGTAATTCCTATCTAGGAATTTGATGTTTGGACCCTTTTCTTTATATTTGAAATTCTATTCTGAAGGGTTTTGTTGAACTTGTTATTCTGGTCTTGACACCTCCGTGCCTATAGCAGCAATCTCACAAACCTGTATCAGATTCTTCGAGAAAAATCGGGGAGAGAAATCACAAAGGAATGAGATTTGAGATCATGGGGCTGTTTGAGGCACTTGCCAAAATTAGGAGTAACTCTTTCTTGAGTTGGCACTAATTTTATTTGTTTAATTTTTAATTTTTAAATGATCAGTAAGATGTCAATTTTACACCATGGCGAGACTGAGAATAGTTCAAAGATTTTTCCGCTACTCTGTTAATCTCTATCCACAACTGTGTTCAGTGACATTCAGATACTACACACACTGGTCTCCTCCATCTGCTGGAGATATTTCCTCCTATCGTATGAAGAGTCAAGCTGTTCTAACCTTTCCTACTTCCCCACCTGGGGTGTGTGGGGTGTGTGTGTGTGTGTGTGTGTGTGTGTGTGTGTGTGTCGGCTTCCTTTCTTTTTAATCTCCTCTGGAGCAGATGAGCTGAGCTCTAATTCTCTTAAGGAAGCCAGTTCAATGATCAGTATTTAAATAACCCTCTGAATATGAAGTTACTGCTCTCTGGAACTTTGCAGTTATTGCATGTATCATATGTTGCTACAAACATATAGGTGTTCCAGATAAAATGCACACAGATCTTCCTAGGACTCACATACAATAAATAACAAAGCATTTTCCAGTCCCATTTGTTTCTGAAGAAAGAAAAAGGCAGTTATGTGGAGAGTTTTTGAGGGGCTTCAACATTATGAAAAAAATATAATCAAGGATTTCCAAAAGGAAAGAAGTAGGAGGGAACCTTTGGAGTAGGATGTGTCGGGGGAAGGAGTGGGGGGCAGAGGTGGCCCAAGGTGAGACAACCCATCTTCCTTGTATCATGTCAACCCTCTTACCTAAGTGTGACCTCTCACCAGTGGCTGGCACATAGCAGCTCATCAGTATTTCTTATTGCAAAACATCGACATTTAGGCATTCTAGTCAAATTTTAGAAGAAGATATCTATAAGTCACCTACAAAATTCTTATGCTTAATTTGAATATTAACAACAGTGGTTTTTTGATTTCTCAAACTAAATGTTTAAAGGCATCTTTTGAAAATCAAGGCTAAAGTGACAAAACTTCAAAAGTGATCACTGTGGTCAAAAAAAAAATTGAAAGCCCTATTACAACACAATAATCGTTAATATTAATGTTAATGTTAAAGTTACGTCTAAGAATGATAGATATTTACTGAGTAGCTCCTCTATCATGCACTATTAATTCATTTAATGCTCACAAGAATCATTTGAGGGCAATCTTACTGTCGCCTTTTTGCAAATGGTGAAATTGAAAGAATAAACTTGCCAAAAACAGACACAGTGGTGGACCATGATGCTAACCTGCCCTGCTCTCTCCTTCCCACTGTGCCAATATCTTTCTCATTTTGTTTACCATGCAGCACAGCAAGAAATAGATTTGCATTATGAGTCACTAGAAAAGCAACATACATCAATATCTGAACTGAAAAGATTCTAAAATAATTTGCCTTACCACGCGCAGGACACTGGCATTGTTCAGTCTGCTCTTTCACTTTTAAAAATTGCTGGCTAAAGTTCATTCAATTGGGTTCCCAAATAGCAGATTTTGACTCAATGTTTAAAAAATACATCTACAGGGAGTTCAGAAGAATGAATTTCATTGAAATAAAAGCTTCAGCATGTGAAACTTGAGAGCAATGATTTGAGATTGAATGATATGCATGCATATCTGTGAAGATTCATTGTTAGAGGACGTGGTGGCAAGGAAGGGCTTCTGTTCGTTTGGGTTAGAGGAGGAAGCCGTCAGCAGACACCATCATTCTCTTGTCTGGAGGAAGGTTCATAATTAAGGAACTTGATATTTATACCCTTCAGGGCAACCTAAGACTTGATTGACAGCGTTGACCTGATGTCATCTACAAATGCAAATATACTTCCCCATAATGCTGAAATTCGAAAAAAAAATAAATTAGATGAACAAAAAATATTAATGTATACCTTTTTTCCTGTTTCCTTGTGCAGGGTGTTTCGAGTGCTGTATTAAATGCCTGGGAGGCATTCCCTACGCCTCTCTGATCGCCACCATCCTGCTGTATGCTGGCGTGGCCCTGTTCTGTGGCTGCGGCCATGAGGCGCTTTCTGGGACTGTCACCATCCTGCAAACCTACTTCGAGATGGCGAGAACTGCCGGAGACACACTGGACGTCTTTACCATGTAGGTCGCCCTGTGTGGCTTCTCGTTTTCAGAGTGTATGTGCACATTGCTGTGTGTGAAATGCATGGCCTCTAGAGTTAAGTGAGGCAATGTTATATAGAAGAACAGAATTCTCTTAGGTTATGTACACAAGTCAAAAGGACATTGACCCTGACTGTGAGCACAGCTGCAAAGCAGAAGATCAGAGCCCAACTTAATCTGGACTTAATCTGTGTGTTCCTTGACTGTAATGCTTTATCTGAAATTCGGTTACCATGACGTGGCTTGCTCAAGTTTCTGTTACTCTTGTCATCTGAGCAGAGACTTTGCTAATGGGATAGAATACAAGACGGAGCACAGGGCCTGGTGCAAATGGAGACTCGGCTGTTGACTCTGGGAAAATCACCCCAACTCGCGGGGTCTTCAGCCATGGGGGTTCCGTCATCTCTCTTTTCCTGTATCACAGGATTGGGGTGACTACTAACTAAACGTGGTGAAAGGTCCTTACTGACTCCCGCGAAAGGACAAGTCATCAGAAACAATGAGCCCCTTTCTGCAGGCACCACTCTTCAAATGTACATGTTACCCATCGCGCGTAAACTCCTGGGGTCACTAAATTACGGGGATGTTATGTTGTTCAAAAAGAGAATGCAAGCATAGTCTGGAGGTAGAAAAGAGTTTGCTGTTCAAGCTTCAGTCCCTTACTGCCTAACATTATAAGGAGCAAACGTTTAGAACTGAACTACAGAAGAACTTATGTTCCAGTAAATTCCCAGTTCAGATCATTTATTTGGTGATTTCTTGCCCACATGGCTTCTTGCATTTAGTTCAGGCTTCCTGAGACTGTGCTGTTCACGTTGCTTTATTTTGCCATTCTAAGTAAATTAAAACCTTCTTAATGTGCATAATGTTTCTGGAATGAGATGCTTTTAGAGTTACAAATCTTGGTGGCTATATGGCTAGTAGGGTGACTTTGCTTTTGACTTACATAACTCGATCAAAAAGGGATTAATCGCATTCTTATTTACCAGGGCTTTTCCTACTGGCCAGGTATAATTATCACCTCAGACCCTAGTCTAAGACAACACTCAGGCAAGCTGGACAACTTTCTAACTAGAAGATAACTTTTCTCCAACTCCAATTTCAGAAAATATAGCATGTTGCTAATTTTTTAATAACCCATCAGCTACAGGCACATAGATTGTCTTGAGAAAAGTATTGCTCATAAGTTATGCTTGTTACTTTATTTATTAAAGTTGCTTATTTCCATGAAAAGAGAAAAGGAGATGTACATCACTATCAAGTCACAGGGCAAGAATTCCCTACT